TGTTGACGTGGTGATAAGACACGACAGAGGTCCATGTCATTTTGAAAAGGCCTTATGAGAGAAACAGAGACGTTAAAGGGTGTCGGCCCCAAATGACACAAAAGGACGAAAGGATATGAACATTTTTGTTTTGTTTTTGGGACCAAAGGACTGAAAAGAAGGAAATCACAAAAAAATATATTAAAAAAAAAAAAAAAAATATATATATATATATATATATATATATATATATATATATATATATATATATATATATATATATATATATATATATATATATATATATATATATATATAAACAACTGAAATACATTCACTCTCTGAAGAGAGAGACGAGAAAGAGAGGTGGAGGGAGGAGGGGAGACGAGCAAGCGCCCAGCTCCATTTCCGCCTAAGAAGCGCAGAGTTAAAAGGTGGCCCCTGTACAAATGAAACTCAATTTCACGCCACATTATCCCTCCCTGTTCTCTTTCCTGGCTTTCATTTTCATTAAGACCAGAGACAATCATAAATTAATAATTACTGCCGAATGTCTAAGCGCAGGGCACAGTCCTGGCACCTCCTCTCGCCTCTGTGGTCTTCCATGTTCATGCTTGCAAAATGTTAATTTAGGTAATGTGGCCCAGCCCTTGTCAGATAAAAGTGTTTTGTAGTATTGCTAATAGATAATGGTCTTTCTGATTAGGTGACATTAGTTCTATCTCTCAGACAATCTCGCTCAACCGTCCTAATGTCTCTCCAAAGACTCGGGACAAAACCCAGTAATCAAGAGCCACCAAATGCTGCTTTCAGAAAAAATAAAAAATAAATAAATAAAAAATACTCAGCTGCATATGAAGATGGGTAAGGAATTAGCTCAGGCCGGCTGTTGACATTATTCTGCTATATCCAGTTAAACCCGAGATTATTCATGCCTCTGGTAGATTTGGGTCTAAATTTGTTTTCATTCAGCCAAGAAGACAAGCATCTCTCAATTATAATAAGACAATGTTAAAGAATTTATACGTTTTTGTTTACATTTTAGTTTAAAAATTATACCTCAATCCACTTCTCATTAATTATTAGAAAAGACTGTTTAACATCACAGTAAACAAGCACTTCTTATAACTGGTGATGAAAATATTAATATTCAGAGTCTTGGAGGTTAAAAGCCCTCTTTACTGAAACCTGAAGTTTTATCAGAAACTTTATGCTCACAAACAGCTTTGGCCCCCTGGTGGCCTGGCTATTTACTCCCTGTGGTCCCTGCAGCATGAAGTGTGGTACAGCCTTTCCCTTCAGACTTGCTCCTTCACTTAAATCCCAGTTTCTATTTGCTTCATAATCCTCGGATACAAGGTGTTTTAGGAGAGAGTGTTTCTGATGAGTCAGAAGAACTACCTCCTGCCTCCTGGAGTTTTTCCCTCTCCCCCAACAAAATCTCCTCCATCTTTCCCACAGAGGCAGTGGAGGCTTATGATATGGGCAGCTGCTCGGGATGGCCTCAGGAACCAATAAAGGGAAGGGTGTGGCATATTGCAAAATATATATTTTTAAAGTTTGGTAATTGTGGGGTGAACAAATGGCCAATTCCCTTCATACAGGCGTTATCAAAAGGGCTCACGGGTTGAGTGCTCGCTGCCTCAGATACAATGACAAAGCTCACACTTGCATTTTTGTCCTGCACAAAATCAGCCGGAGTGGCTTGTTCAGGACGCCACTGATGCAGGAGACGCCTCTGCGCATTAATTATTTCTCTAAATCATTTGCCCGCGTTGCTAAACAGTGGCCACACACCCACGTCACGTGTCCCAGTTTAAAAAGATGTTTTCGTTTTGTTATTTTTTTTTTTCCCCTCGAGAAACCAATCAATTTCCTGTCAACAGAGATGCTGCAAACATCTTCATCCACCGTGTCAGTGCCCTCACATATTGTTACAGCATACATACACTACGAGTTTCAAACTTGAAAGATATTTTACGTTTCCTGGCTTGAAAATGTTTAGACTTAAATAAGCCCTTGATCTTGTCAAACAGAGTGGGAAAACAACACATTGTGCAGCGTGTGACATCAAGCAAAACACAAGAAGGCGGAATAATCACATCTGGACATGCAGTCTGTATGAGTGCATCTCCACACGAAGCCAAGTTTTTTAAAGTTCTGCATATGTAATCAGCAATGCGCCTTCCCACACAACAGCAAAAAGTGCAACGCAACACCACATCTATAATGCACATTTGGTATTTAAAGTCTCCGTGCCTCATGGTCATATTTGTACTGAATTGAATTTATTACAAAATGTGCAGTGATATGAAACATGTAGCTGCGGGGCCTCCTTTTCCACGTGCCAGTGCAGGAAAAGGAAGAGAGGAGGAGGGAGAAGGGAAAAAAAAAGGGCTTCAGATGGAGAAATAAACAGAATATGTGAGTAATAGCCCACTTCACACAGGCTCGTTGGAGGTGAGCGGACTAAATCTGTCGCCACACTGGAAAAGAAACGGGGCCATTAAATGAATGAGGTGGACGTCGCTCCTTGGTTTCTTTCACTCCAGAGTGAGCTAAAGTTTCGGGGGCCCGAGCTGCAAGCGCCAACGCGGGCCCTGCTGCTCGACGAGAAGCGGCGCTTCCCTCGTGATTGATCGCCTTCTGTGTGTCGTTTTGTTCTTTCAAGGTTGATTGAAACTTTAACCTCATTTTTAATGAACAAAAAAAAAAAAAAAAAAAGAAATATAGAAGAAAAAAGCTTGAAATATTTCAGGCCTTGAATTTTTACAATGCAGCACTGAATTATGCAGCAATCAGTCAATTATTCATCTCCGTGGCCGTGTTATGGCCATGCTTTAAAAAGCATGCAAAATGGGAATGGGCCAGACGTGCTGTGTCAACACATTTCACTCAAAAGTGCTTACAGCAGAAAAATTCTCTCTCAATGTCGATTTCATATTTCTTTTTCTTCATGTGTTTCTGGAGCGCTACCTGTTCTGGAATTATCCTTGTGGAAAGGCGTTGTGTCCCCGGAGTAAAACCCAGGAACTTTGTGAATAACTAATCATTAAAAAAAATAAATAAATAAATCTGCTGGAGGGACCTGAAACACCAAGAACTAAAACGGCTTAATTCTGGTGCGTGACCATCGAGCGTGGTCAAAGAAGTTTATTACACAGTGGTAGATTGAAAAATGGGGCAAAGTAGGTGATTTTTGAAAAAATATATATTTAATTAAATATTTATTTAATTATACCTGCAGTTGCATATTTAATTGACAGTTAGCCAAGTGAGTGATCACTTAAATTGTTCCAGAAGTTGGGTTATACCATTCACCATTTAGTACCTTTTTGGGGGGAATGGAGCATTTGTCTGTGTGTGTTTTTTTATTTTTTTGAATCCCTCCACCAACATGTTTCACATTCACATTGAGAACATGCGGTTTAAAGTGCCATAGCCTGCTGTACGGAAATGTACAGTTGCACATTTGTTCTTGGAGTGAATGTCAGACCTGAGCGGACCCACAACCGATGTCTTCGTTTTACTCGCCTTGAGAATCTCACACTGGCCGATGACTTCAATAAATGATAATAATAAAAAACCTAGAGGGAGTTTATGATTACATGACATTAAAGGACAAACCAGTTAGCTTGCAGAAACAACAAACTTGGCTACAGTATTGGAGTCACCAAGCAAAGAGGAGGCATTAAGAGGGAGCTGTATTTGTGGCTCACACTTTGTGGATTCATATGCTTGATGATTTCTTTACACAGCACATGTAAAACATTTGAAACAAAATGCAACTTGGGAAGCCAAAATAGGTTGGTGCAATGCCGCGTGACACACTATTAGCTGGCTTTTAAAATCAACCAATGGAGGAGCACCTTCTTCTTGTTTGTGCTGATTGTTTAAAGCCTGGGCTGCACAGTGGCGCAGTTGGTTGCCTTGCAGCAAGAAGGTCCTGGGTTCGATTCCCGGCCCGGTGTCTTTCTGCAGGGAGTTTGCATGTTCTCCCTGTGCATGCGTGGGTTCTCTCCGGGTTCGCTGGCTTCCTCCCACAGTCCTCTCGCCCAGAACGCAGCTGGAGATAGGCACCAGCACCCCCCAACCCCGTTAGGGAGAAAGGTGCTCAAAAAATGGATGGATGGAACTTTGAAACTTTAAGAGCAGGGATAATGAAGACAGTAGAGTATTAGCATCTATGTAGCGTTGTTATGTCTTCCACTGTACATATTAATGCATTTTACTGTATATTTGATGATGTTTGAACTATAGAAATGGTTGCGATCCGTAATCCCCCGTATCATGTAATTCCCTGCTATCTTCATCTTGATAATTTATCTGTTTGATCATCCTATTTTGAGATTGTGAGCAGAAAATGATTTTTCATCTCTTCCCTAGAGTTGGAGCAACCCAAAAAAAAAAAATATATATATATATATATATATATATATATATATATATATATATATATATCTATATATATAGCAGTTTCTGTATGTCCTTCAGGATGTGTACAAGAAATTACTATTATGGACTATTGCAAATACGTAGACCACATAAATGTAACAGCAGTTCAAAGGTTTCCAAGCAAAAACTGGTGAAGCATTTTTCAGCTGTAGTTTGTTTTTAATCTGCTTTGTTATTTTCATCTCTAGCTAACTTTTCGCTTTAACCTGAGAAACACTACTGCGACTTTTTGCTAAATGCACACGCTGAGAGTTGCCTGTTGTGGGTAAGATATTAACAAGCTTCTAGTCTTTTAATCTTAGCCGACTTAAAAAGAAAAGTGTGAAAAAGCAGTTCTAAAAGAGAAGGCCGCATGTTGTTCAGACCTTAGACAAGACTGAAAATGGAGGCTAAAAAAAAAGAGAGAAAGTTATCTGTGAGTATCTGAAAAAACAAAGACATTCACCTGGTAACGTCGGACCACCTGAGTCGCATTGATCCACCTGCTTCTCAGTGAGCATCATCATCATCACCATCGTGATGCAGAACCTCGAAGGTCGTAGGCAACACCATTGAACTCACATGAATTATCATCAACATGTTAACTTTATTTGAATTTGAAGTACAATGAAAGAGATGATTCGAGAAGCTATATAAGTTATCAGTGACAACAGACTTAGACACTCCATTAAGAACAAAAAGGAACAAACACATCGTGAATGGGATACGCTTCCTTTCTTCTTCCTCCTCCTCCTCCTCCTCATCTTTTTGATTGTAACACATAAGGTCTAAATTGTTTAGCAGATAAAGGACTGACATCAGCTTATGACTAGAGAATATACACAGGTGTTGCAGCACCACAATTCAAAAGTCTTTAGGGAAAGGAAAGTATTCTTTTTTTTTCTTTTTTCTTTTTCTCATCAGGATATCCATGAAACACTAAAACAAAAATGTGTTAAACACCATGTAATAAAGTGGTATTCGCTTTTTAAAAAGTAGCGTCCTTAGCTGATTGTTTTCCAAGCTGGCACGTGATGATAATCAGACCAGGTACTTACAAAAAAGAAAAAAAAAAACAAACAAAAAAAAAACAAAAAAAAAACAAAGCGACAAGGGGTGCTGATTTCAACAGTGTCTCATGATGACAATGTACAGGAAAATCCGTGAAATATGACCTCTGTTACGAAGATTACAGTACTATCAACAGCGAAAGTCTTCGTTTTTGAGACTGAAACGTCGTTAATCATGGTTTTTTAGAATTGTCCGGGCGTGGGCGAGTCGGCCCCGGGTTATTTGTTCAGCACAATATAGGATTTATTAAATATCATAATTCCAGGACAAACATTTACATGCCTGCATGCTTTCTCACCAGAAAATGGCAGCTATAGGAAAGGATGATGGCTCAGAGATAGAACGAAAACAAGAAAGGTTTATATAAATGGTGGTATTGTTTGCCTAATAGCTCTACTGCATACACAATACCTCTTAACGTTATATACACATACCTTACGAGTCCACTCGGGGTTCAGCAGAATGCGAGTCTTCCTATCTTTAACATTTAGCTCTTGTATATACAACGATGGTAAAAACGGAACTTGATTGTATTTTCATCTAATTTAGAAAACATGAAAATCAAACGTCGGCCTCCTTTCTTTTTGATGACCGCGCGGACAGATTCACATTTTTTTAATCCCCCCTTTTCTCCACAATGTTCCTGTTTTTTTTTTTTTTGTTTGTTTGTTTGTTTGTTTTTTTAACTTTTTTTTTCATCTTTTTAGCTCCTCGGGATTTATTTTGAAATACAAAAACAAAACTTCAGTCGAATTTTCATTTCAAAGCTTTCTCGCTGGCTGAGATACAGTATAAAAAATCTTCAGTGCTGTGAACTTATTAGGAGTTATTACCAACAATGCACCTCGGGTACATTTTTGTTGTTTTTTTTTTATTCTTTATTATTATTATTATTTTTTTTTTTAACTGTGCTCGGTTATATGTTTATCCTTCTTGTCGGCGAACCTGTCCGCGTCAAAACCTGCCTCGTCAAACTACTTCAGGTTTTCCTTCCGCGATGAGAAAGACTTCTTCGTTGAGCATTCAGACTCCTCCAGCGTGTTTGGGGTGGGATCAGGTGGAGTGACGGGGGCCGGGGGGGTTGAACACAGCATTTCCACCTACGAGCAGCTTGAACTCCCTTCAACTAAATCGGCCTGCGTTAGAGGCTTCCCCGAAACCTTCATGGGTTTTTCTTTCAGTCCTTTTGTTTTGTTTTATTTCTTTTATTTATTTTTTTTTATAAAATCTTTCTGTCCTCCAGCTCTTCGTGGCCTTATCAGTACATCACTGCGGTTTTCAGGAACAGTCTTCCATCTGGAACAGAGAACACACACACACACACACACACACACGCACAGAGAGAAGAGGCAAAAAGATTAGCCAACAGCTAACAATCTGCTGACGCAAATGCACTGTTCAGGATGTGATTGTTGATGAAACGCAACTTTGAAATGTTGCCCTCTAGTCTTTGGATTCAAACGGCATTACTGTGAATTCATAAGCTGATTTAGGGAGAAGATAAAGTTAGCAGTCATGGCAAATGTGATTAAATATCATGTGGCGTAATTAACTTTATTGCTTTTAAATAGATTAGAAAAAAGTGGAAATTAGAAATAGGTTGACTTCAGTCTGGATTAGGAACACAGTGATCATTCTATTCTTAGATAACGTTTCTTACTTTTTAAACTTCAAACTTCAATATTCTTCACTGTGATCATTATGTGACAGGCCAACACAAGGTAGTGCATACTTTGGAAGAGAAAGGAAACGATGCATGGTTCTCAGAACATTTCAAACATAAATAGCTGAAAAGTGCGGCATCCGTTTCTCTTCAACCCTTTCAGACTTTTGACTGTCGGCCGAAATGTTAAATTCTGTTCTCATCTGGCCAGAAAGCCTCGTTCTACACATCTGCAGTGTCCTCTTTGGGATTTTTATTTTCATAGCTGTCTTCAACATTGAATTGTTTTCTTGACACTGCCAGATTTATGGAGTGTACAACGTTTTTTTCGTGTGCCTCCAGGTTTTCTGCATGAATCTTTGCAGCCTCTCCAAAGTTAACACGGGCCTCTTGGTTGCTGTGCTGATCAGTTGCAATTCCTTTTAATGGTTTTGGGTAAGGGATTTAACATTGTTCTTTGAGACATCCAAAACTTTGTGAATGTTAATGTTTTGAGTCTGATTCATATTTCTCGGTTGGCTACCATGTATTTCACTGAGGGGTGCTAGTGTGAATAGGGATTAAGTAGAACTATCTGTACACTTTTTAGGTACTGATATGTGGAAACCATACATTTGTTCTTCCACTCCGTAATTATGTACAAGTTTATTTGTCACATAAAAAAGCAACAACAATTGAGACAAAAGGTGGAAAACTTCAAGAAGCATGAATGTGGTCGAAACCTGCTGCATTATCAAACCGACCTAATCCGTCTGAACACATTGTCGGCCTTCAGCTCGGCCATGGCGCCTCTCATAAGCATAAGCCAGCTCTTAAGTCGCAGCGCGGTGTCCCCTGCATGGATACTGTAAATGGCTCCGTCATGTGATCTCTGAGCTCTGGCCCCTGCCAAGGCGACCGACTCTCTTCTCGGCCGCGTGTTCGCCTGAGCGAGCAGCGCCGCCTTTTTTCCGAGACAGTAAAAAGAGATCTGTTAGGCGCAGCTCCGAAGCCTGTCTGACGTTTATTACCTTCACATTCATCCCCCTCCCCTCTGCTCTCCTCCCACCCAGCCACCCTTTTTCTCTCTCTCTGCCGGAGAATGCTTACAGTTAATGCCTTTAAGAAGCGTCTCTGTGGCAAGCAGGCCTGAATTATTCAGCGTTAAAGAAAGAAGCACACAAAGACATTTAGCAGCCCTGCTTGTTGGACATGACACAAGCAGAGCAGGACAACGGGAGACGGCCTTTGACTAGCCGGTTGTAACGTCTTGATGCGCGGGAAATCCTGGCCTGGCGGCTTTGGCCCGCTTAACCTGTCATGATGGGTTTTTATGTGTTTCACACAGACAGGCGGGGTGGTGGTGGTGGTGGGGCAACAAAAGATTCTTGTGTGTCTGACTGTGTACTCAACTCATAACGGGGGGTGTGTACCCACACCCACACACACGGGCTAATTACCCGGCACTGCCGTAGGTCTCCAAGGCATTGCCTCTGTTTGAGTAACAACCACCACCGAGTTCTGCGCAAAAGTCATCACGGCGTGAATGCGGCGGCACGGAGGGCGAAGCGCAAAAACACGTAGCGGGAGGGGAGGAGGCGAGCGCAACGGGACGCATAACCCGACGCAGAAAGGATGAAACGTCGCCTCGCTGGTTTGTCTCGCAAGCCTCCGCAGCGACAATTCATAGGTGGTGTGTTGATGAAAACAAAGGCGATTTGATCGACTGATGGATGATGACAATCAATGCGTTGTCGAGAGGATGTCACATGTCGGCACGTTTGGCTTCCAGGAGCTCAAACCTGCGAACTCAATGAAATTGTTTTGTTTTTTCGAACGCGAGCCGAGACGTTGTGACGTTCTTGCTCGCCTCGCAGGGCCCTCATTAAGGCGCGGCGAAACTTTCGTATTTTCACATTCGAATCGAGATGAAAAGTTCATTAAAGAGAATAAATATTTCATTAGGTGCTAAATAAAACAAGGGGGATTTTTTTGGCTTCTCTCAGCACAAAATTCCTTTGAAAGATTAATTAATACATGTAAATTATGCAAATTATGCCCATGCAAATATTTTATGAAGACAATTAAGGGATCCATTAATTACAGTCTTTTTTGCTTCAGTGACATTCATTCATTTAATTTTAATTTCACTTTAACTGTTTTGATGTTTAATCTTGCAACAAAGAACTTTATCTGGCTGCGCGCAGGGTCGTGTAAACCCCGCCGAACGCGTCGAGTGGGGAAGATGGCGGGGCGGGGCGGGGCGACGGAGGGAGATGCGGGGGGGAAGATACTGGCACGGTGCGCCACCCGTTGCCAGGCGGCACCGGGGCGAGGCGCGGGCCCCCAGCAGCTCGCCTGCCTGCGAAAAGGGCCGCGCTCCCCTCCTTGGACCCGATTCAAAACACTGCAAAAAAGCAATTAATAAACACAGACTGTGTTAATATCGCAGAATTAGAGAAGTGTGACAAAAGACAAATAGAAATAATTAGTTCTCTGAAATTATGCCCTCATTATTATTATTTATTTATTTTCTCTCCCTCCCCCTGTCTGCCTCCGTTCGCTTCCTCGAATTTGGAGTTGAGAACGCACCCACACATTTCTCTGTCTGCTTCGGCACCGGTGATAGGCTTGTTTTTTCTTTTCTTTTTTTTTTTTCTCCCCCCGCATTCTCCCCTCCTCGAGTTTTCTTCCTCCTCCTCTTTCTGCTTGTGTAATTTATCAACATCATTTTTTGCCATTTGAGGTTAATTATACAGCGAGGCTTGCGGAGCAGAGTAGAGGAGACATGGGTGGCAGACAAATGCTTCTCTAATTGAACAAAACACAGAAAAAAATAAATAAATAAAAGTGTAGCCGCGTTACTCGGTTTCATTCCACTCTTTGAGGCAGTGATTGAGAGGCCCTGGAAAATTATAAGCTCTGTTATCGCAGCCGCAACTGTTTTACAGGGTTTGAGTATAAAAATAAAAAAAACAAAAAAAGTAGACGAATAAATACCCTGCCACAACCTCGGCTTGAAAAGCGGCTGCTGTTGCGGAACAGAAGACATGAGGCTTTAACGCGGTTAATTTCAAATATTCTACAAAGTATGTGGAAGAAGAACAAACAAATAAAATTGCTTGTGAACCATCTGACTTACGCTGAAGTTTCCTGGAAGGAACCGGGATGCTGAGAGCGTGGAAAAGGCCCAGAGAGCCTTCAAGATCTGAAGACGATTTGTGTGGAAGAATGTCTCAAGAGAACCCCCGAGCAAGACATCAAGACTATTTTCTCCACACAAACGTTTTGAAGTTGTCATGACCAAAACGGGGCTTTACTGTTCAGTCTTTAATCAATTTCAGTGACTTTGTTCAATGCGTCTCCGCCGTTTTGTTCTAGTTTGGCTTATTACACGTAACATTAGCATGGAGTAAATGTGCGTTGTTTTATGCTGTGATTTCATTTCAACAGACTGAAAAAAAATAGATTTAGTGACAAAATCGTTGATCCCTATTGTCCTCCTCTTATGTTTGAATATTTCTTTTGTCAGTCAAAAGTCTTCATGAACTTATTACTTTTCCTCTGCTGCCATTTCTGCTGCGTAGCGACATTATTTTCTCAACAGCAACCCCTTGTGTTCAAGAGAGTAACTCCAACAATTGTAATGTTGCGGCCTCTCAAATCTGGGAAAGACTGTGTTCTAGTTGCATATTGAAAAACCGATATGCAACTATAACACCATGTTAATTGTACAACTTGCTCGCACACATTCATCGACATTCTGGATTTAACTTGTTTTGGTGAGAGAAAACAAATACTTAAAATGTCTTTATTGACTTAGCTTCTGTAAGTTACTGAAGTCAAATCAACACAAGAATATGTTGCTGTTTTTACCACTCTTGTCAATTTATCCTCTGTGGGAAGGGAAAAGGGAAGCGACATTTGCAAAATGCTGAAAGGACGCAAATATAAGGAAGCATCTTACTAAAAACACTAAAGCGACGAAGGCAAAAGGTCACACTAGAAGAAGAAGGAGCTAAAGGAACTGGATATTTGGAAAGTGAACTGTGACAAAAACTTCTTTGCCTTTAAGAGGGGGGTGGGGGGGAGATACCAATTAGACGGCCTAAAAAAATGCCCTAAATTACATGCAGTAATCATTCATCTCTAGTTTTTCATATCGGTTCAAGTAGACTAATCGCACATTAAAGACTTAACTAAAATATTCTCTGCATGCAAAGTCAGAAACTCCCCCAACCTTATTTTTCGAAGCAAATTGCATGCGGCAACTTTCCCAGGGTAAATTGGGACCTCTCTCCTCACTGATAAGGGCAGTTCTGAGCGGCGCATTAAAGCGAGACGTTTGAGCAATAATGAGGATATTCAACCTTTTCACGAGGTGTCTCGGATCTGGGTAAACACAGATAGAAGGCGGTCCGACGGAGGTTATCGCCGCGGTGGCCTTCCCTTAAACACAAACTGCACCCCCAAGGCTAACAAACAAACAAATCATTAAAAATGTACAAGGCTTGTTCATAAAACGGATTGATTTGCTCCGATTATGAGTATCAAAGGAGGGGTTGCTCTGCTTTTTTTCTTTTTTTTTTTTTTGTAGCTTTATGACTCATTACAGCGTCTTGAGCGGTAAATATGTAGCTTTTTCGAGAGCGGTTGTTTGGTTTTACCTGCCGTAGCGCATTTAAACCTGCCGCCGCTAGAAGTCAAGTAAAAAAATAATATTATTCTTGGGGAAAACCGATGATCTTGACCTAGTGCTGTGGCCCAGATGGTGGTGTATGTCTGAACAGCAGGCGCAGAAACACTAATGTTCATAAACTGAAGACGTGTGCTTGTGCGGGCGTGGGCGTGTGTGTGTGTGTGTGTGTGTGTGTGTGTGTGTGTGTGTGTGTGTGTGTGTGTGTGTGTGTGTGTGTGTGTGGGTGTGTGTGTGTGTGTGTGTGTGTGTGGCGGGAGAAGGAGGGGTGGAAAAGGAAGAGAGAGGTGGGAAAAAAGAGAGCAAAAGTGAGGGAGAGAGATTTATTGTCTCATCTGAGCCCCTGTACCTTGTATTGTCCTTTCAGCATCTGTTCTTCCACTGCTGCGGTCACTCTCCATCTCAGGGGTCAGAGAGTCTGCGAGAGGAGAGGGATCACCGCCGTTAAACATGCCTGACATCCACCTATCAGAGCCGTGCTTTCACAGCATCATTCATCGCAAACTAGAGAGAGAGCCTTGCAGCCATGTCTCTGCTCAGTGTAACTATGTGCCTCTCCGTGTGATTATCTCCAGCGATCAAAAATTATACCTAAAGATTTTTTTTTTTTTTGGTTCTATTACCTCTGTACTGTACGGTGCTACAGGCAGACTGATAAATCAGTCACTGAACTTTGCTGCAGCAGCCGATAATTTCCAAGTGCTTCTTAGACACGGTGGAGGTTTTTTTGAGTGCACGCCTTGTTTCAAGCAGCCCTTTACATTTGTTGGCACCTTTTGTAACATGAAGGTGTTACAGTCGCGGTGAATATCTACGACTGTTGTCATGAAGAATAATTGTCTTCATAATTATTGGGTAAATAATGACACTTTTGGTGCAAAGTTAACACTTTTAATGGACTTTTAATGCAGGTTTTAGTAGGACTTTGTGTTGTCATTATTTGCCAAATGACACTTTATGACAACAGTCGTAGACATTCATAAAGACTCCCTTGTACTCATGACAGGTGTTGTGTCGTGTTTATGATAGTGTCACCCCTTCAGATAAAGCATTGCCCAGTTTTTTAATGTTGTCACCTGACTGTGCTGACAACTGGTTAGTCGAAAGAGCCCATTCAAAAGATGAGATGATTACTGCTAAACGATCAAATCATGATCAAAACAGTTGGTAGTTTGACAGTAGCAGGAGGGACTCAGTAATTCATTAAATACGTTCACTGATTCTGTACAGTGAATGTATTTAATTTAGTGCCTTGCAAAATGTTACTACCTATTGACATTTTTCCCAGATGAAATCTGCATACTTTAATGTACATTATTGGGATTTGTGTGTCAGGTCAAAATAAAGCAGAGTGTTATTGCAAAGTGGAATAAATCAATTTCAGGCACGGAGCGCATTAACCAAAGAATCAGTGAAGAAAGTCATCGTAGCTTTGGAGGAGCTGTAGGAATTCAGTTTAGGTGGGAGAATCGGACAGGAAAAACATCTTTAACTCTCACTGTCACAATGCACCTCGGCCTGAACGCGCCCTGCCTACTGCGACACATGGTGGTGGCAGCATCATCCTGCAGAGATGCTTCTCTTCGAAAGGGACGGGGAGGACGAATGGAGCTAAAAACAGAGCAATCCCAGAAGAAAGCCTGGACTGCCAAAGCCAAATCGTCTGTAGCAAAGTCTAACCATTATGTGCTGCTTTTTATGTCGTTTATCTGTCACATAAAATCCCAATAAAACACACTGAACTTTGTGGTTGTAACGTGAGAAAATGTGAATAAGTTCAAAGCGGGTGGATGTTCTCAGCAAAGCGCTGCACAAATAACAATACATTTGCGATACATAGAATGGGCTAAACGTGACGTGTGGTGCTTCCTGACCGTTGAGGGAGCGCATGCTGTCTGAGGGCGATGGCTGCTTCAGAGTCTGCTCCACCTGCTCCCTCCGTTTCGACTCGTACTCCAGGGCTTCTTGCAGTTTCCTCTTGGCCTTCTTCTCCTTCTTCAGACGCTTCTGAATGATTGCTAGCAAAAAAAGATCACAGTGACAATAAATGAGCTCTGGAAGCAAATTAGGGAAAGCATTTTTTTTCTTTTTAAATTTGATTATAAGCCCATCCTGGCTGACAAAGATAATAGCCTGTTTTTTTTTTATTTTTTTTTTTTGGTCTTTTAAATTTAGCACTCAATTATAGAAAAGCGAAAATCAATTAAACTTAAATATTTCATAATATATAAAGATTTAAATGGGAAAATCGGAGCAAATACTGACTTGCTAGAGGGAATTGAAGCTAATTGAAAAATTTATTGGGATATTTTTCATGAATTTCTCTCATTAAACATAAACGATCCGGTTAGCGTACGACTCTGATGCATTTTACATGAGGGTTAGTGCGAGTCTGGATGGGATGTGTATTTTCAATTATGTTAACAGACTACGAGCAGAAGGAAAGAAAGAAAGAAAGAAAAAAAAGCTATCAGTTTCACATGTAACCAAAGAGGCTCGGAGTGGCTTATGAGTGTCTCCTGCAACACACAGGGTGGCGTAAGTACATTCAGAAGCTCCTGTACCTAAATGGTTACAAGAGCTTGAATGGGAACGGGTTACGCATGCCTGCCTCCCCCCGTAGGAACAAACACAAGGCTGACAGGGAGGACGGCGTGTCAGATCGTACCTCTATTCTTCTGCTCCATGGCGAGCTGCTTCTCCAGAGTCTCCCTGAGCTCTCTCTCTCGAAACAGCTCCATCTTCAGCTCCGTCTTCTCCAGCTGCACCTGCTTCTCCTGAGCCCGAGCGTTGTCAATCGCCACTTTGAGCAGGCCCTGCGCCAAATAAAAAGAAAACAAGAAAGAAATGTACATGTGTAAATCATCAGGACAAAAAGACAAATGTCATAGGAGTGCCTGGGGATGTTTGTCTCTCTTTGGTCAAAGCTGAGAAATGCAAGAGTGACTAAAGTTAGTGATAGTTTTTTTTTTTTTTTTGTAAGTACAGCGAAAGGTTCTAACAACTATTAAATGATGGAACTGGATACAGCTGGACACGACAAGATTTTAGCTTTGCGTTGATCTGTCACAAGACAGCCTCATGAAACAGACTGAAGTTTGCGTTTTTGTCGGGACAAGACACAAAAAGGTCCAGGAATACCTTCGCAAGGCGCCATACCTGAACCAATCGACAGAAAGAAAAACTGAATGGAAAGGAAAAAAAATGTTCTAACAGTCAAACTAGTTTAAACTGGTTTAATGAACAGATTCATTCAGCTAAATAACATTCAAATCAGGCTCCTGACAGCCTTGTTTCAGGGATACTTCGGGTTTTGTGAAGTGAGGTTCTAATGAGTAGTTTTAAGTAATCAGATGATGATTCTGACTGTAAAAAAATAGTAAGAATGTCAGTTTGGAAAATCCGGGGCTAATAGCTGGTCCCAGACCTTTTGCAGTGAGTTCAATTTAAGACTTTTTAAGAACATTAGCTTCATAAATTAAGTTACCTACGAACACGTTAAAATTACTTAAAAGTATATGTTATCTTAACATAGCTAAGTGTTTTTTGACTTGCAGCACTATCTGCACAGTATTATTTTTTGAAAATTTGCATTTTCTGTGAGCAGAGTGCACTACTTCCGAACGTTTTAGATGTCATCGTCGAGCGTACTAATTTCCTACATTTCCCTATGACAAATTCCTCCATTTCCCACAATCCAAATGGATACTAGCAGGCTTGATGAGCTATTTGGGCGAGTGTCTGGTTAACCTTAATTTGAGTTTAGATCTGACAATGGAATCACATCGCAGGTTGAACTGAAGGCCGCTCGGAGACATCAAGGGATTTTCCTTTTGTATTTCCAGTTATGGAACTGCAAAATCTCATGCTGCAGTAAATATAGAATACACCATGACGAGATCTTGAGCAAAAACTACGACACATGTTGCAAATAAATGCCAACAATTTCTCAAAAAGAACAACAAAGATTTTCTACGAAAGAAAACAATTAATGAACAAAACCAACTTAGCAACTCAGACCTAAGACTTATCTTGAGAAATCCGGAAATATACAACACTTGCGAAGACCTGAAATTGAGATGATCAAATTAAAGAGTTTTTATTTAGACCCGACATAAACCCAAGATGAGTTTAAAATCAGATTCTAACATTCACTGTCAATGACTAGCCAGCCTAAAGTAACTATGAAATGGATGTCTTGAGATGTTAAATGGTGCAGGTCAAGCCTAAAACTCTCATGCCAGCTTCAAGTAAATACCATTTTCTAAGCTATCAAGCTCACTTTTCCATCTAAAAATTATCAAGTTCCTTCTATTTAATTTGTTTTTCTGTAGAACTTGCAACAGGTCTTCAGTGTCAATACCCCACGACACGTATGTAAACTATAAACTGTAAATTACTTAGAAAGAGATATTTGTTTGAAGCTTGACTCCTGAATCAAAGAAACCTTCCTCATCCTCCAGACTCAGGTTCCTCTGATTGCTCTCTGCTGCTGCCGAGCTTCACATGCCTCTACTTAGAAAGCTACCAGAAAGCCCAGTTGTTTCATACTCTTCCCTTAAGTAAAAACCCCACAGCAACATCACCAGTTTCATCACAATTATTCCCCATCCACATGCAATTACACCAAATGCACTGGACTATATCTTACTAATTGTTGATTCTTCTAACCCCAATTTATATCAAGTTGCTTTATCTTAATTTTCCGCTTGGTTTATTGTGTTGATTTGTATATAAATATTCACTCCGAGGATCATTATCAAAGATGACTAAGAGGAGTGTTGGGAGCTCACGACGGGCTCGGTTGTGGCTCTCTAATTACCGCGCCGAGCCAAAGGAGAAGCGGGACTCTGATGCCAACCGAACAAGTGCAACGAGAAGGGCAGCAGGGTACACACATCATTACACCCAGAGAGAAGGCAAATACATTCATCTTTCTGATTGAGGGGCTTTGAGCTAAAGCCTGAACAGCACTCGGAGTGTGAGTGGATCTTCGCTCCCCGTTTGCTGAATGAAACCAAGGGAAGATGCTAATGACTTTTCAAGTCGGATATTTGCCCTCACACAGTCTCGAGCATGACGCCAGCCGGTGGAAAGCCTTCAGATGTGGACAAGATCCAGTGACCTGGTTGAGTCAGCCAACCCCTAATTGCCATCATTTCCAGTATTCAGTCTGTTTTTAAAATATGAATATAAATACAAATCATGGTAGTATTTTAAGCATCGAGCACCAAGAAACTCGTGGATGGACGGTGGGCTGGGTGAATCCAACTGTTGGATTATCAAATAAGGAATTAAACAATTTTCCAAGCTCTTTCCTTTCCCTAAACTTCCACAGACCTGCAAGTATGTGATTATTCTCTCTGTAAGCTGCTGCCATAACACCGTCACTACATGTCCGCCAACTTTCCCATTGGATGCTTTTTACATGCAACTTCCTGCTTGGGCTGCTTCCTTCTTAGCTATGTGATTATATATATATGTAGATATCTACATATAGATATCCCTGCAACAATCTGCAGGGATTTTGTTCTCAGAGTCGGTAAAATATATATTTTGTATAAAACCATGCTGGCTCCTGAGGAAAAAAAAATCAGAGCTCAAGAGCAAAGTTCAGTCATCCAGTTTGAACATTTGTGATGCTCGATTCTGCCGTTTTGATATTTTTGCACAAATGTATGCATTTTCTTGTGTTTAATATTAACTGCAGTCATTCTTTTTAAGTCTTTTATGTATTTTGTTTACATTTTCCTCTAGATCATATTAAACTATCGCAACAAAGCCTTTGGCGCAACAGTAACGTGAACCAATGAATGAAGGACGAAGACATGAATCGCGACAAGATGATGTAGGGTTCCCCTCAGGGCCCCGACTCAGACCGGAGACAGTACCTGTATGTTGGTGAGAAGAGTCTCTATCGATGACAGGCCGTCTGGGAAGAGAAATGGCGACGGGAAACCCGGAGGCAGAGTCTGTCCGGCCAGTGACAACCTCTCGTAGCTGTCTCTCGCTGTTGGGGTGCACATGGAGTTGTCCTCTGCAACGAAAAGCGAGATCAAACATTTGCTCAGCCTGGGAACCAAAACACCGTGCGGCACCTTTGGCCGTCGATGACGAGTGTCGTGGCTGAAAAGCAGGAACGAACGGCATTGTGCTGACCTGCAGGAGCCAATCCAAATGTTCCTCACTTCACAAAACGTACATATATTTATATAGATATATATATAGATATACTGATATATATCTATATATAGATATATAAAACATGGAATTCTTTTGTACTGTTTTTTTCTAAAGCCCCACACTACCTGTTTTTGCATAAGGTATTAAACAATATCAAACAAAAACATAAATCCAGCAGCAAGACCTATTCAAGAGATGTCATGTGGATTCCAAAAATGGAGGTGGGGGGGGGGGGGGGGGCAGTGCTGGCAGTTTGACCCCAGAGACTCGGGCTTGCTTTGTGCGTGCACGCTCGGGTGCCTGTCACACCTAAGATGACATCATCCTCCATTCATCACTGGCAGAGGGGTAGGGCCCTGCCATCTGCTGTCCAGCCTCTCCACCGGGCCTCGGTGGAGAGGAAGAGGAGCAGAGGGAGGGAGGGCGAGCAGGAGGCAGAGCAGGCAAACACATGTACAGCTTGCTTAAACTAAAACAGTATGTCAGACACTGACACATTAGATCTGACACATGTTTTCATCCGGTGAGCTTTTACTATGCCAAGAGGATGGAAGTGCTACCATCCCGGTGAAAGACGGTTCTTATTGAACCCACTGCATGTCTGTACTATTAATTCTTTTGAAAGCTAATTGAATGCAAAGTTGGTTGGGTTGGGATGGGTTGGGTGGCAGTGGTTGGTGGGCGGAGGGGAGTTTTAGACATGGAGAGAAAACCTGGCGGTTCCTGCTCTCATCCAGTATTCATATCTGTTTATGTGGCAGCCTGAATCTTGTACAAACAGCGAGCGGAGCTGAACAGCCCCCGCCGCTTCCCTCTCTCTCCCTCCTCCCATCAATATTCACCAGCGCCAGCCAAGTGCTGGGAACAGCTGGTCTTACATTAATTAGTTTAAAGTATTTATTTCACCCATCCTCAGAGCAGATTGAGCAAAAACATTGGAGATTATTTCAAGCATCTGCAAATGCCCTGGAAACATCCCGGCGCCAAAAGTCGAGTGTTCAGATTCACAGTTTAGGTTTGTAATTTGGAGAACTCTTTTTTTTTCTCTTTCTCGCTCTCTCTCTGTGTGTGTGTGTGTGTGTGTGTGTGTGTGTGTGGTGTGTGTGTGTGTGTGTGAGAATGGGGAAGTTGGTAAAATACGCACCGCTGGTCCGTAGAGAGAGCAAACAACCTTTCTCCCTTTTTCAGATGGAGTTCAGTACTGCTGATTAATTAGAATGGATGGTTGCCTAATGGATTAAAATTTGTTTATAATTTGACTTCATAAAAATAATGAATTGCCTACTTTTAAGAAGGCACTCCTGCAGTAATTTATTTCATCTGCTGCAGTCTTGTTTTTTGTTTTTTTTTGTTCATTTTTATTTATTTATTTATTTTTGTTGCTTTTTTTTTTTTCCCTGTGGTGGGCGTTGAGATTCGTGAGATGTCAAATGCGCTCTCCACCTGCACAGCGGAGCAACATGAAAGTCCCATTTTATCTCAATAAATGTAACTAATCAAAGATCAGAAGCATTGCGCCTGGCTCCGGATCGGGTTAATACAGACGTACCGCGTCTGCATTATATATATGCATGCATCACCCACCTCCAATAAAATCACCATAACAACTAGAGACGTTAGTAGACCTCAGGGAAAGGTCTGCTGTTCTGGCTTTGTAATTGATTTGTACTGTAGGCACTTTGTCCCTTATTTAGTGTTGGCATTAATCATAAATCATTGCTTTAACAAACTCCGGCTTCCCACTCAGCAGGCCTCGCCTCCCAACACAAACGTTGGATCACAGGGAATATTTGATGGCTTTGTTGCAGGGGGGAAACAACCTGTCATGCTCTGGGAAAAGCAAACAGCACGTTGTGTTCGACAGACTCCCAGCCACCGTACAGCAACTCTTGTCAGATAACATTTCCACCAGGAGCGATGCATAAGTACCGGCGTTTGGGAGAGGAAAGAAATGCGGAGCTAATGGGTGGCTAATTGAATCAATGCAATCAAACAGTGCTTAATGAAACTAAATGTAAATTTTAACAGAACAAGATCTGGATCTGCAGCTTCCAGGCAAGTCGAACAGCGCTGCGCCTCACCCAACTTCTTACCCAACAGGCTCTCACCCAACTCCAGGCTTTAATCATTCGCCACTATAAAGGTGTACTGAGATGTTAAAGACTTGCGGTTTCAAAAATGAACGTTTCACGTAATTTCCCTACAGTTTAAAGTGATTTTTATGACTATAAAAGCTTAAGGCAGCTTAGTGTGGAGCACAAAGCAGCACGCCGCTGCTTCTATTCCACATGTTGCATTGCAGGTCATCTGGCTGGCCTCGCGTTCACAGGAAAAACAGAAGAAGGTCTTCAGAGATAATTCCATTTGATAAAAACAGACAGTTATGTTTTGGAAACTTGAGGAGAACCACTCATAACCACTCTTGTTGAAATAATGGTGTTTGAAAACTATTTTGGGTTAGCTACATGTGGAATATCTGTAAAGCGGCTGACTGCAGGCTACCGGAGCAGACAGCCTGACTGATTTACCAGCTGACATTGTTAATATCAGTTTGTTTAGCTCGCAGTTTTACTTGGAAAAATATCAGAAACAAAAGAAAAGTATAACATTCTCACTTTAAAACTAAGTCTGCTTTTTTAACCCCCTTTCTAAATTTATAAGAGATAATATTTATTGCAGTTATAATAAAGCGGATACATTATTTTCTGTAGCAACGGGACTCATTATTGCATTTTTCATTTAAACTCACGACATTGTGTAAAGCTATATGATTTCGTCCAAAACTTTTGCTACTTATCAGGCATAAATATTATAAAGAACATGAATTTGCACATTTATAATTCATAGAGCAAAAAATTAATCAGTTGTTTTATTTAGATTAAAAAAAAATAGTCAGTTATTTGATTATCATCAGTTATTTAATACGGCTACACTGTTGTGTTTTATTCTCGGTCATCATGCTGTGCTGGCCCATGCCTATAGGTCCCCCTCACTCTCCTCCCTCCACCTGGCTCCAAACCTTGGCATCCGTTTGCATGTTTGCTTCTCAGCATCGCTCCGCAATCATTGACTTCAACTTAATTACAGCGACAGGCGTTGGGAGTGATGGGGGGGCCGGTGGAGTAGAGTGGAGTGCTCTGTTTCCAGGTGATATTTCTGCGCCGGCAAGGCTCCCAGCAGCTGCTGCGAAAGCCTCTGGTGCTTACCGTACGGTGAGGGAACAGATAGGGTCTCCCCATCCTGAGTTCCCTTCCCCGCCCCACCCTACGCCTTCTCACTATGAAATACTACATAGAAAAAAAAAAACACACTTGCGGGTCACCCCTTGTCACAAATAACATTTCACGCACAACTGTTTCTGTGGATAATAGGAGCCACAAATAAAAATGGGACGCTGTAAATACAATGCATTCTGAATGAAATGCCATAATTTAAAACAACAGTACCCCCCGACTCCATCCTCCACCAACACTCTCTCCGTCCTCCGCCTCCACCCTGCTCTCAATAGCTGCAGAGGGAGTCCTTGACAGTGTGGTAGCAATGATGAATCACCTATCCAGTTAATTTTCTCACTCCTCGTGTGTTGTGCTACTAAAACAGGGGCCCAAGAATTGACTTGACAAAGTATGAATGTGAAAAAAAAAAAAAAAATCACTTGGAGGGATCTGGGCTTATCTCCAATTTACATGTTATTAGATTTGCGTTACAAGAGGCATTTGGACCTGGCATGGAAAAAAAAATAAAAAACAAGATGGAACCACGATAACCAGAGATAAGACATTGAAGTCCACACTCCAAAGCCTTTGAAATATTTGACGGAAAAAAGTTGCAAGGAGTGGAGGGGAAGTGGCCTGATTCGAAAATGTGACAGACACACATTGCAATCTGTTGTAAATCTAGAAGAAACCTTGGGAAATTTAGCTGCAATCTCTGGATAAATAGCTGTAATTGACCTTGGGAGTTGAAAATGTGCCATATGTTTCTGGTTCCTGTGTTTGAAACCGGCTCCCCCAGGATTCTTTTACGCCGAGTGCTCACACAAATTCAGAGAGAGCCGCAGAAAATAGGAAGACAGGCAGAGAGGGAAGAATGGAGGGAGTGAGAGGTAAATGGTCGAAGATGGATGGATGGGTGAGGCTTAGTCTGGGATGGAGGAGGCTTTAACGGAATGAGTGAAAGAAGGAGAGCGTTCTGCCGGCCAGTCAGTGTGATATATTGACAGGTGAAGCCTTTGTCCTTGTTCCTCCCAGCAGGGGAACCGAATGCTAAACCTGGATGTTGTCAGCAGAGCCCAACACGCGAAGCGCAGGCGTTCCGCTTTCACTGTGCAATTACATTTGATTTGACCTGCCATGGTGCGGCGGAGAAACCGGCCTCCCCTTTTCAAGCGGAGTAGTTATGACCTCTCGGACGGCTATTAGCAGCTAACGCAGCATTATTCCACCTGCACTTAAAAGCACTGGATTTGGAAAGAAATCTTGTCAAGGGAGATATCTGTCTTTGGCTACCAATGCACAGATGCAGCAGGGTGGGCTGGGAGGGAGGGGGAAGTAGTTGCATGCAATTTGAGCACTTGAAAAAAACATGAGCCTGAGCTGATCTTGCAGATGATGTGTCTGCACTCTGAAGAGTCTTTTAAGAAAAATGAGGGGAAGAAAATGGTTTTAGAGAAGTTATGATTTAACTGGGGATTTATTTATTATTTTTGCTGTATATATTCAGAAAATGACAATTTAGTAGAGGTGGAACAAGATCTAAACTGTATTGAAATGCCACAGTATTTATTTTTTTTCTTAAAAATGACGTCTCTGGATATAGATGAGAATTTTGGAAATTGATAATCATGGAGTCGCC